TAACCGACTTCAAAAAGGAAGTGGAGGTTCTAAATTTCTTTTTTATGTATGTTACACGATAGCTTCGGTATTTATGAACCGATTTTCATGATTCTTTTTTTGTTGGAAAGAGGGTATCTCCATAGTGGTCTCATTTCATTTTGAAGAAAATCATCCACCTCTAAGGGTGGCTGATCACGCATGAACATTCATTTTTTTTAAATAGCGCCTAAATTTTACTTAAAGAGCAATTATTTTAATGGTTGGTTTTGCTATTCTCCAATTCAAGGCGTTTTTTTCTCTCAATATACTTTGAGTAGTGAGAACCGATTTTTATTATCTCCTGTGGCAATATAAACTAGGGGATATTTCAATAAAACTTGGCAAATAGGTGTAATTCCACGTACTTTTGAGGTCGGTTTTTTTAGTACTCTGTACTGAGATTATATTTTAACTTATTGGAAGACCAACGGCTATCTTACACAGTAAAAACTGAAATAATAATGGAGAACCAAATATAGGTCCTCACCGATGGACACACATTAAGTAAATGAGCATTATATTGTAACTATACATATAACTACTAAGTATATTTTAGATACATTTTCGCAACACTTAGTAATCACCTACTCGCCAAAAATGAAACTACTAATAAGACGCTTCACCGATGCAATACTAGTGTTAAAAAGGTCTATATCGACCTGCTTGAACAATTCATTGAAGCTATAACTCTCACGTAAGAGATATGCATTCCGCCGAAAATTCGAAGAGGCCATGGGTACGCACTAAAGTGAATTAAACCTAAGAGACTTTGTAGGGGCTTTAAGAGAAAACTCAGAGAGTCCACGGCTCCAGAAGCAATTTTTCGCAAAAATATTAGGTCTGCTATCTGACGTCGTACCTCTAGTGGTAAAAAATGATGTTTCTTACATGTATCTAGATACTTGTTTGACTCCCCTAGTTCGAAAACATAAAAACTTAATAAATCTATTTTGCACATTTTCAATACGCGATACGTAGGTAAGGTATTGGGGGCTCCAGACCTGCGACGCGTATTCCAGGTGGCTGCGGACAAATGAATAGTACGTTACGGCAATATTTGGTTTCAAATGCGATATTTCGTTGCTATACCCGCACGTCCTGCATAGAGGATTGTTTTGTGATACATTGTTTTTTGTAAGGGGTATACTGAATAATCGTTGATTACGCACAGACCGAATCGGAACTCTAAGCCACCATCAGACTGTGCATTAGCAAATTAGAAAAGTTCGTTGTCCGTTTTGTCAGTTTCCGGCGTTAAGGTGAAGTATTTCAACGCAAGCCTACATTTTAGGCGGTGAGGTGTGGGGGCCGCCTCTCGCGTGCCGCAACTCGCGCGCTGAAAATGAGTAAAAAATATAACTTTTTTTATAAAAAAAAAAGCCTCAAAAGTTCGTGGAATTACATCTATTTGCAGAGTTTTATTGAAATGTTATTATTTTATTAATATTTTTTTCAAATTTAAATTTGACAAATACTGAGATACCCTTTTTCCAACAAAAAAAGAATCATCGAAATCTGGTCACAAATGCCGGAGAAATCACCATCCAAAAACACGAACAAAAACAAGCGGAGAAAATTTAACACAGATCCAAAGTCGACAAGCATTCGATGGCGACTGACGGGGCAATGGGCGGTATGGCGTGTCGTTAAACCGCCAATTTTCAAATTTCGGGATAAATGTAAATTTACCAACTATAGGGTTTCAGTTGAAAACCAAAATTTAGCAGGTTTTCTGTAGTACTTAAAGAGAAATATCTCCATATAAAAATTATGTACAAGGTTACATATTTTATTCCTAAATAATTCGTTTTAGACTTTTGTTTTAGCCTGTTTTCGGCATTTTATATGGTCGGATAAAGTACATCCAATCGTATAACAAATTAGCACATTCTTTAGACAATATCCTTAGGTGTGTCGTATATTTTTGGTTCTTCTTCTTATCGTGTCGATAAGAAGAAGATCTTTTGTTTTAGGACTATATTAACCCTGAATAGTACGTTGCTACTTTGACTGCGCTGTCCGTGGCCGCGTAGAGATCTTCCCTCGTACAGGTATTAGGACACAAGGGACACAACAGTAAGTGCTGCATGGACTGCGTTGGGGCACCGCAGTCACATTGGGTTTGACTAGTATCCTTGAAACCCCATTTACACATCGTGTCTCTACAGCGTCCTACCTAAGTGCGAAGGCGATTTAAGGACTTCCACATGGGCCACCGCAGGTCACAACCTGGTGGTAGTTGCTCTTGAGGTACGATGAAACCAGGTGGTGGAGGATTGTTCCGTTTCCACAATGCAAACCTCGTGACAGTTGGATGGTCACTCGTAGCCTGGAAGCTTTTATGGTTTTTGAGGCGAGCTCGGGGAATTTGGTGGCCATATAAAGAGTTGGCTTGAGACAGCCTGTGATCAAGCGTACTGTTTCATTAAGCGCTACGTCAACAACTCCAGCATGTGCAGACCTATGCCACACCGGACACGCGTATTCACCAACAGAGAAACACAATGCTAAACCCGTTGTTCGTAGGGTATCTGGC